TGCATTCACCATATCGTCTCACTCGTGTTAGGCTTACTCCTCATAATGCGCCACAGACACAGTACACTTAGGTATACTGTCTTAGTCAACGATCTTATACCTATCTTGCTCCTAAGATACATAATGAACTACCAGAATCAATAAAAACAATTAAATGTAAAATTAAAATGAAAAAAAGCCTTAAAAAATTTATTTTAGAAAATCCACGACAAAAATTTAAAGATATAATAGAATGTAGAAATACTTAACTTGCGTCTGTTTCTAGTCTCAGCTTTAGTTTTTTGAATTAATTGTTTTTTTAACACTCAATAATATAGATTTTGGTTGTCACGTTTTCCCTTAAATTCACTTTAATCTTCTAATTATAAAAATGGATCAATTAAATTTCTCTTATATATTTATATATTTATCCTATTTTATGTATTCTAATTTTAGTTAATTTAGTTTTAGTTATTTGTATATTTTAATCTTGTGTTTTTAAATAATAATTTATTGTACTTTTTTTTAAGTTTCATGTATTATAATCGAAACAAGTGAGTACTCACTTATCGAGTGTACCTTTATTCATTCAATTACTTTTAATTTTTAAGCTACCATCTGTATTTTTATAACTATATATTTGTTGATGAATAAACTATAAACCTAGTTGGTTTTCATACTGTGCCACAGAGATGCGATCAGCCAGAGGACAATGATGTACCAAAATATACAGGGTGTCCTTTAAAATGTGTCCCAAAATTCTCAGGCAGATTCCTTAACCAAAAAATGGAAAAAAAGTTCCTATAGACCCATGTCCTAAAGTGCCCCCTAAGCGAGCAACAGCCTCTCGAAATCATTTTTTTTATTTTGATTTTTTGAATTTTCTTAAAAATGGAAACAAATAAAAGAACCAAATTTTGGCTGTTAAATATGATCAATAATAGTGACCTTTTGACACCTTCAAAAAGAAATTATTTCGTCAGGGGTGTACTTGGGAATTTTTTGAAAATTTTGATTATTCATAACTTTTTTGTGTTTTTGGTAATGACTTATCCATATTTTTTTTTACATTCTAAATTGAAAACTACGTCAAAAAGGAATACTTGTTTGATCTCGATTGGAGCAGCCGTTTCCGAGAAAACATCATCCAAAGATATTCGTGCAGTTTAGGTTAATTTTCAATTTTGGCTGTTGTAGTCAAAAAGTTGGAAATCGAGGAACACGGCTTACATGTCCCTATCCTTACTTTCGAAGGTCTATTCAGTGGCAAAAAATATTAGTTGATACAGGGTGATCAAAAATCGGATGTGATTTTGGATTTTTGATCACCCTGTATCAAATAATATGTATTTTATGTCACTGAATAGACCTTAAAAAGTTAGGATAGGGACTGTAAGCCGTTTTCCTCGATTTCCAACTGTTTGGCTACAACAGCCACCTGAATTTGAAAAAATGTGATTTTTGAGTAGCTGTAGATCCTTTACTATTCATATTAGATAACAAGTGTGATATATCATTGAAATCAGATTATCGAGCAGATTCTAAAAATATAAAAATATACAGGGTGTTCCATTTAAAAAACATAACTTTGATTTGGCACGGCCTTATGAAACACCCTGTCACATCGTAACTAATTTTAAAATGTGAAGCTTAAAGCTGCCTACTTTTATTATAACAGATCTACAGAGCTTCCTCACACTAATCAATCACCCTGTATACTATTTTTAGCTCTCTAAATAAAATTTAAAAATTTAGTTCCCATTTATTTATTATGAAGACCATAAGGTTTGTATTTAGCTGTTTAGAATAAAAAAGTAAAAATATGTATTTTTTTGGCGTTTTTGTGTTTCATGGATAATTTTTTTCGCTCACTGATAAAAATGTTTCTTCAGTTAAACATTATTTCTAAAAGTGTTCTGGTGCGATTCGTTGTATTGTTATTATTTTGTTTAAAAAGGCTCACAATAACTACAATAATGATTACACATTCGGCGAAATGACGGACATGCACTTATGTTTTGGACTCGCTTCTGGAAATGCCAATGAAGCTCGCAGACTTTATCAGGAGCGCTTTCCAAATAGGCATCTTCCATGCGCTAAGACGTTTTCTAGAATTGACGATAGACTTCGGGAAACTGGTACATTTAAGAAAAACTCTAGTAACAGTGGAAGACAAAATTATGTGAGAACTCCTGCTTTGGAAGAAGCAATTTTGGATAGGGTAGCTGAAACCCCATCGACAAGTACCAGAAAAATAGCAAATGGTAAGTAATTACTTATTTATTATTTTAGCTACCCCGTACCTTATCGTATAAAACTAGTTTTTTTACTTGTTATTGCTTCTCTTACATTTCACGACTTTTCGTATCGAAAAGAGTTGCGTTATGCAGAAAAAATCTGATTTCCCAAATCAATGGATTCTCTTTCTTAACTATTCACTACACAGATTCTCTCATTTAATTTCAGAAGTGGGAGTCGGACGTAACACGGTATGGAAAGTTTTGCGTGAACAACAATTGTACCCTTACCACATTCAAAAAGTTCAGGCACTTAAAGCTACTGATTATGAGCCGCGAGTTAACTTTTCTGAATGGTTTCTTGGAAGATGTAATCAAGATGCAATGTTTCTTAATAAAGTGCTATTTACCGATGAAGCTGGTTTCACTAGAGATGGTATAATAAATTTTCGAAATATGCATGAATGATCTGAAGATAACCCTCACGCGGTTGTTGAACGTCACCACCAGGATAAATTTTCAATAAACGTCTGGGCTGGAGTTATTGATAATTACCTTATTGGACCATTTGGTTTGCCGAATAGGTTAAATGGAGCAGCATACAGGCTTTTTTTGGAAAATAACTTACATGAGCTTCTTGATAATATTCCGATTCAAATCAGACATAACATGTGGTTTATGCATGATGGAGCTCCACCACATTACAGCCTTGAAGCTAGACAGCACCTTAACGAAAGATTTGAGGGTAGAGTAATTGGCAGAGGTTGTCCTGTTAACTGGCCACTTCGTTCACCAGATCTAAATCCAATGGATTTTTTTGTTTGGGGTTATTTAAAATCATTGGTTTATTCCAGTCCTGTTGAAACAGTTGAAGAATTGGAAGAACGAGTTTTTCATCATTGCGAAGTTCTTAGGAATAATCCTGAAGTATTTTTTCGTGTAAGACAGTCTATGATGCGACGGTTGCGCTTGTGTGTGGAAACCAATGGTCGCCACATTGAGCATCTGCTTTAATTTTTTTTGATTTGTTTTTTTAGAATAAATATTTTTTTAAACCGTTTCTTATTATTAAATAAAAATAGTCCCACCACGACATTTGAACTACAATTATTTAGAGAGAGCTAAAAAAGTTATTTTTATTTACGAGATTCACCGAGGTAATTTAGGAAAATTGAAAATTAAGCTAAAGTGGACGAATATCTTTGGATGATGTTTTCTCGGAAACGGCTGCTCCAATCGAGATCAAACAAGTATTCCTTTTTGACGTAGTTTTTAATGTAGAATGTAAAAAAAAATATGGATAAGTCATTACCAAAAACACAAAAAAGTTATGAATAATCAAAATTTTCAAAAAATTCCCAAGTACACCCCTGACGAAATAATTTCTTTTTGAAGGTGTCAAAAGGTCACTATTATTGATCATATTTAACAGCCAAAATTTGGTTCTTTTATTTGTTTCCATTTTTAAGAAAATTCAAAAAATCAAAATAAAAAAAATGATTTCGAGAGGCTGTTGCTCGCTTAGGGGGCACTTTAGGACATAGGTCTATAGGAACTTTTTTTCCATTTTTTGGTTAAGGAATCTGCCTGAGAATTTTGGGACAAATTTTAAAGGACACCCTGTATAGATTAACACGAATGAAAATAAAAATATTAAAATTAAATGTATATTTTTCTGTTATTTATGTCATTCTAAAATAATGTGTTTTTATGAAATTTAACTGGGTGTTCACTGCATAAATGAACCAATGGAA